TGCAAACCTGCTCACTCTTTTCTGAGCATATCTTTTTTTTTTTTTCTTGAGGTTCTCTACCAAGTGCAGTAGAAACAACTAATTTGTTTTGGTGATGTTTTGCTAGGGAAGCTCTTAGTTCAATGCCAAGAGTTTAGTAGGTATGTTTCCTGTTTCCTAAATTATGGCAGGAGACAGTTTTAGTGATTTATTTTTATCGTTACATTTTTAAAACCCATTTCCCAACTTTTTGTATCAAGCCTCTAGTAGTCAGCTATTGTTGCAATACTGCTGCAAAAGGAGAGGTCCTGATGATCCCAGAGTTTAGAAATCCATTTGTGCCTCAGCCACAGCATCTCTGTGTTGGGCAGCAGATGCTGTTCTAGGCCACTTCTCACCTCTGCTCTGAGGCTGGTGGAAGAGGCAGAAGTTACTGAGTATTTACCAGGCCAGGACTGTAAGGCTAAGCAGAAGTGTGTGCTGTCTCTGAAACTTCCACTCAGATCTGCCCACTGTCCCTTCCACATAATGCAGTGATTGTGGCCCGTGTTGTGGCCATCCATGGTACCAAGGCTGGGAGCGTGAGAGGATGGTGAGCCAGTGACACTGTGCTCTGGGACTGGCTGAGAGACGCAGGCCAAGTTAAGACGAGTCGTCCCCATCCCTCTACTCCTGAAGCCCTGGGCTCTGCAGATGAGACATGATGTGGGGAAAGGACAGAGCTCAAGGCTGGACCAGCTGGCTGCCCCTTACACCCTCTGTGACCAATGGCCACTCCTTAGTGCTTCTGGAGCTACAGCCCTAAGACCGTGTCACTCCTCCCTGGTACTCAGGGTGGGTGGGCCAGTCTGGGAAGGGGCAGCTGTGAGACCCTAATAATAGATACCATTCCCTCCACCAGCCTTCCCCCGTCTGGGCAAGCAGAGGGATGCTGAAGCCAGCCGGCTCCCCCATATGGAGTGTCCCCTCTGACTGCCCACCAGGTAGGCTGAGAATTAACAGCCCCTGAGGGCAGAGAGACATCCACCTGGCTGTCCCACCAGCCCTATCACCTCATGAAGCTGGCTGCTATATCTAGAAGTAACTACTGTAGCCCTCACAACGTCTTCCCTACCTGGTAGAGTCCATGCTGTCTGCTCGATGTGTCATACGGAACATTCGACACATTATCTGTAGTGTACTTAGTGCCCTTGAAGCTATGTCCATGTCCTAATTCCCAGAACCCATCAATGTGACCTTATTTAGGAAAAGGGCTTTTGCATGTACAATTAAGGACACTGAGATGAGGTCATCCTGGTTTGTGGAGATGCCCCTAATCCAATGTCATGTGTCCTATGGAGGAGCAGGCCATGTGAGTGGAGCCAGTACCTGGGACACTGAGGCCACAGCCACAGGAAGTGTAGAACCACCAGAAGTGGCGGGCAGGATCTGGGAGTGAGAGGAAGCACCTTGTGGGGAGCAAGTCCTGCCCACCCCTTGATTTTAAACTTTAGCTCTCCTGAACTGTGAAAGAATACATTTCTGTTAAGTTGCCCAATCAATTTGGCCAGTTGCAGGAAATTAGCATGCATCTCATTTAATTAGAGAATCCCTCAAGGTAGGTATTTGATATCCATTTTGCAGGTGGACAAATCAAGTCATAGAATGAAGGTAGTTTGATTCTGATGGCTGTTAAGGGCACCAGCAGCAGCATCCAGTCTGCTTCTGCACCTGTGCATGGGTCCTGCTGCAGTCCACATGTAGAGCAGGCCAGCAGAGAAGAGACACAGAGCAGACCAGGTCCACACAAGCTGCTCCAGAGGGGCTGTTGGAACCAGGGAGAAAAAGCAGAGGATTGTGGCATCTCTGCTGGTCCTGGGAAGAGCTAGGGTCTCCGGACCAGATGACCATGTGCAGTCTGACATAACTCCACCCAAGGGGGCCTCTGTGCCCAGCTGGTGGGGATGGACTTCCTCTGGATTCATGCTCAGTCCAGGGAGCCCCAATTCCTGGTTCCTTCTGGAGGCTGGGGAGAGATCATAGCAGGAGGTTGGCTGGGGCTAGGGGGCCTGCCCCAGGGACTGAGGACCTGGAGCACTCTTCCTGGCTGCAGCACTTGGCCCTCTCCCAGGGGAGACAGAACAGAGCTGTCTGCGGTAGAGGATGGGGAGACTGATAGGTGGCCTTCTCTCTCTGGCTTCATGTTGGTAGTTACATTTTTATTCCATTTTCTCCTTTGGGTTTTTCAGGTTCATTAATGGAGAGGACTCATGCATCAGAACATGTTGTACCTAGCATCTCATATATTTAGATGAATTCTTTTTGGACTTAGACTTCATGTTGTAATGGACTAGACCCTTATAGTTGTCAAGATTAGCAACTGCGTTTTACATGTAGGGTGCATGTAGATTTCTGAAGGGCAGAGAACAAATGATGGTCAGCAGGAATTTGGTCAAAGAAGTTCACATTCGAATCCCCCAAGCCTGTGAACTGGCTACATTATCTGACAGAAGGGGTTTTGCAGGTGTGCTGAAATTTAGGACCCTGCGATCTGGAGATATTCCTCCAGGCAGAGCAGGTAATGCTGTCCAGCCTTGATTTCATTTTCAGAACTGTAACAGGTTTGTGGATTTTTTCCTTTTCTCCTTCTCCTTCCTCTTCCTCTTCTTCTTCTTTTTTTTTTTTTTTTTTTTCTTTTTCTTTTTCTGATGCTAGGGATGGATCCAGGGCCTCACAGATGCTATGCAAGCCTGCCTTGTTGTTTTGGTTTGCTTGGAGTAGACCCAGTATGTGGCCCAAGCTATTCTTGAACTTGGGTGATTCACCTCAGCCTCCCTAGGATGAGAGGCCAGATTGTATTGCTTTAAATCGCTGGATTTGTAGTACTTTTAATAGCAGCAGTAGGAAGCTAATACAGGAACCATGGAGCAGAGGAAATCAGTGGAAGGACAGACCAGGAGGTAGAAGCGCAGGAAGAACACACTTTCTGCAGGAGTCATGCTCCATTTTTGTGCAGCAGAAGGGACCAAGTCTTGGTTAGAGTGGATTCAGGAGAGACTAGGAGGGAGGGGAGGAGGGAGGGAGATGGCAACGACCTGCACAGGGCTGTTGGTGAAGAGCAGAAGAGGGTGGCAGCTGGGCTGGGGGCCTGGGAGAGAACACAAGGCCCTGCCCTGGCGTGAGAGGTGAGGGGAGAGGACATCCAGCAGCCCCAGCAGAGCCGGCCAGGGCGAGGAGGCCCTGGAGGGAGTACATGGAAATTCTTTTCTGATTGCTTCTATTTTCTCAGCGAAATGGGAAACAATCATCTCTTTTTCACTTGCTAAATGTGCTGAGCAGGCTTGAAGGACGCGAGAAGGCAGGAAGCAATCGGGATGCCTCACACATGCGGCTTCAATATTGTTTGGTTGGAGAAATAATATACTGCTCTACTAGTTTGTTTTAAATTAGACAAACACCCTGGAGCCTGACTGCCACTGGAGAGGGCAGCCAGGGCTGTGTTTGGAGGGGGGCTTTGGGGTGCTGAGGTCAGCTCTGTTTGACATTCCTGACGTGTGAAGGGCGGCTTGGAACAACAGTGTGAGCCATGGGCGTGCAGCTCCCTGGAACTACTCCAGGGGCCCTGCTTGAGAAACGATTCCATCCTGGAGATTCCTCCCCAATGCTAAACAGCTGTTGGTGCTTGTGGAAAATAAGGTTGGGATTGTTTTCTCGCAGCCATGGGCGCGCCTCGCGCTGTTTGTAAAGCTGGTGATGGATGGTGTGCACGCGGACTCCTGTACAGCAGCTCGCCCTGACTGGCAGCAAGGATACATCTGCCACGCTGTTGCTGCACAGTTCGGTCTCCCCCATAGCTTCATCCCTGAGCTGAGTTGTCCAGGTGTCTGCCTGCTTGATGTGTATGACTTTCTCAGGCAGATGCCCTGTGTCCACCTGCCCAGCGACCTTTGTGAGCCTCAGAGTGGACCTGTCTCCATCTCCGCCAATGCTCCAAGTCTTCCGCCTACTAGGAGTCTCATTCCATGTCCCAGTGGGCCACAGAGGTCACAGCTCTGCGTTTTATTTTCAATAAATTTGAGGCTACCCTAGAATGGTGGAAGCCTTTGTGGGGTTCCCTGTCCTGGTCTTGAGAGTTTCCTGCTTCTCCCCACCTAAGATCCCCTCCTTCCCTGGTCACCTGCAGAACCCTCTTGCACAGAGGCCACCAATTCCTTGGCTCTGCTGACCCTACTTCCCTGAGCTCTAGCACTGCGGTATCAGCTGTGCACAGCCTGTTTACCGTATTGCCCTCTCCTGGCTGGGGGATCTTTTGGGGGCAGGTTCTGTGTCCCTTTCTCTGGATATGTCCAGCTCTAGAGTGTTGCCAAGCACACAGGTAAGAACAGGAACAAGCCTTGGCCCCTCGCACTGACCATGGACATCCCACAGGGGGCCACTGCAGGCTCATGGTGCCCACAACAGGTCACTCTGGAAACAAGAAAGCTGGAGTTCATCAGTGTGTTTGCAGGTGCATGGCTAATAACTGGCAGGACAAAGCCCATGTCCAGCCACTCGTAACAGTTCTTTGATCTATGGAATCTTAGTACACACATCATCTCCTGTCTGTTGAAATGGCTGTTGGTCCATTTCTGCAGTCAGCACTGTCTCTGAGCATATCCCTCCATTCCTGCATAACACAGCAAGGTGCTCACACACATTTCCCTCAGTCCCTGAATGCACCTACCTGTGTCCACCTGACCTACAGCCTTGCTCATGCTGTACCTGGAGACCCCAGTTGGGCCACCTCTTCTCTCTGTCCTGCTGCTTTGCCTTGCTCGCCCGAGTTCCTCCCTTCTGGTTGCTGCCTTTTGCAGCCAGAGCCTCCCTCTGAAAGGCCTTCCCTTCTGCTGTTCCTGTCCAACATCAACCTGCAGCCAGGTGAGATGCACAGCTGCTCAGACTAAAAGGGTTAGAACACTCTCTTCCATTTCCACACTCAGAGTGTGTGGGAGCGGTGGGTGGTGGATTAAGACACAGCATTGTGACATCAGAGGCCCGGGTAGGTCAGCAGCTCCTGAGCCAACTGTGTTCCTGGGTGGGAAACACTTCATTTTCCTGTGCAGCCACCACCTCTTTGTGGCCGGAGCCGGCAGATGACTGGTGTGAAGTTCTGTGGGAAGAGGCTGAGGCCAAAGACTTTAGAAACTTCTAGTCGGAGACTGAGCCAGGGGCTGCCTACTGTCCATTTGTGCAGGTGATCTTGGCCCCCAAAGGGGCTGCCTTTTCCCTGTACTGTCTTGGGGCCATGGGACCTCAGATCTCCCCATGCCAGCACCCTGCAGCACCAGGAGATGCCAGGCCGCTCTGGGACACGCGTCAGAGTCAGCGGGGCTTGGGCCAGGGAGAACATGACCCTAGAATGGGACATCTGGCCCTGCTGACACCATCTCCAAAGACAGAAGAGGAATAAGGGCTGACAGGGATATAAGCATCTAAACATCTGGGGCAGACCTTGATCCGACAGCCATACAAAGGACCAGCAGCTTCCTGGGAACTATGCCTCATGGGCTGTGTTCTCCTCACTAGGTGGGCCCTGGTACTTGGCAGGAGAGGGGAGCAACTGCCCGCTCCTGGCCCCGTCTATGTGGGATGGAGTAGCATGGATGAAATGTGTAGTCCCCACCTGGGATAGGGCCAGGTGATTCTGATCCAAACTCCTCCCTTTAGCAGCTGGTTCCCACACTGCACAGAGCTGGTGCTGCATGGAGCCCATACCCTCTGGCCTGGGACATGGGGTCGGTCCCCCAGGGAACAGGGTCAGAGCTGGAGGCAGTAGGTCCCCATGAGATGTGTGTTTATACTCCCTCCAGGCATGTGGATCTGCACCAGGCCCTCCTGGCTGCCGTATCCCACTGGCCAGCCACCAGGGGACCCTGTCTTCAATGCCCAGACCCCAAGCTAATGCTGTGGTTTGGGGCAGACCCAGGGCTCCATGGTCTGCTTCTTCAGCTTATAGAGTGGGACTATGCCAGGAGCAGCCAGGCTCCCACCTTGTCTGTCACCTGCCCGCTCCCCTGGGCTGACAAGTAGAGGCAGAAGCTACATGGACATGGTAGATGTATATCTGTATGTGTATGTTCCCTAAAAGGCCTTCCATGCTGGGCACGGTGGTACACACCTGTAATCCCAGCACTCAGGAGGCTGAGACAGGAGGATCGCTGTGAGTTTGAGGCCAGGCTGGGCTACAAATTGAGTTCAAGCCCAGCCTGATCTGCATAGGGAGATCCTGCCTCAAAAAGAAAAAGAAAGGGGCTGGGGATTTAGCTCAGCGGCAAAAGCGCCTGCCTGGCAAGTGCAAGGTCGTGAGTTCGGTTCCCGGTACTGGAGAAAAACCAAAAAAAAAAAGAAAAAGAAAATAAAAAAGTCCTTTGAGGAAATGCAGCCTAGAAATGCAAGGGCAAGATGGGGTGTAGGGGTGGGCTGTGCTGGGATGGGGGCTGTGTTGGGGGCGATGTGAGGGCTGAGGCCAGAGGAAGAGGTGCCTACTTCGGAAGTGTGTGGGGGATGCTGTTTCTCACATGCTTCATTTCCTGTCTTAACACATGTGAATGTCCTGAAGTAAGAAAACTGTTCAATTTACCATGAGAATGAGCAGGTTTGCTGAGGCTGAACCCTCCCTGGCTGCATGGCATTTCTCCCTGGCTGGGACCACACTGCCTATGTCCTCCTGCATCCACACAGGGGAGCCGGGAGCCCCAGGAAGCAGAGTGGACATTGGGTGTCTTACTGTGCCCTGGTAGCTGTCTTGGTCCTCCTTCCAGACAAGCTGCTCACACTGGGCTGCGCTGGCTCTGCCTGGGGCCTGCTCCTGGTCCAGGGTGAGCCTAAGTTGAGCTGAAGGCAGGGGTGGGCCTGTCTGTCCCTCACAGACCCCTGCCTGGGTGCCCATGGGTTCCATGAACCCCTTTCAGGTCCTTTGAGGGCTGTGCTGGGGACCAGGGGCTGTCCCTCTAAGGACAGCGAGTGTCTCTGGGTTTCCCAACAGGCCTCGGTTGTGCAAGGAGGCAGGGTCCTGCTGCCCACTGGCTGAGACCAGTCCACCAGCCCAAGTCGGGAGTGGAGTAGTCACTGAGGCGGCTCCAGAATCTCACAATAACAATGGTATCACCTTGCTCCTCCCTTCTGCGGTCATCGTCACAGTAAGAGCATGCAGCTGGTGGGGCCTGCATGTCTTCGAGCTTGGCGTTGCTGAGCATGCAGGCTCTGTGGAGAGCAGGACTGAGTGCCTAGGAGACTCTAGAGGGCTGGGGCTTGGCCAAGGCCAACTTCCAGAAAGACCATGAGTGACAAAAGGCCATTCCCTGTGAGTTAGGGGAAGACCTGCCCTCTGAGGCACAGAGTGTGTGGGGAAACCTCAGCCTGCTTCGGGGATGGGTCTAGGGGGAACTGAGGAACTGGCCTGATTGTCACTGAGCCCCAGGGCCCAAGGAATGGCATCCAGGCCAAGGTGGAGCGGGATGGGGGCTGCTGGGGCCAAGCCATGTGGCCAGGGCATATTTGTTTTTGGAGGGGCTACTGCCCTGACCATGCCCCTCTGGACAGGGTGGTGCCATCCTCTGGGACAGGGAAACTGAGATGTGCTCTGGGTGAAAATTTGGGTGAATTTGGATTCAGCTGGAGCTTAAAGATATTGGAATTCAGGGCTGTGGGCTGGTGCTGGCCACACCACAAGGAGGGCTGGCTCTGGGCAGGGTGGCAGCAGGCTTTTCCTACAGGACAAGGCAGAGAGGCAGGCAGGCAGACAGGGGCTGCTGGAGGGCTGTCCAAGCCACTGCCCACCCGGCCCATGAGGACAGATAGCCCTTTTGCCAGCACAGGATGGGGGCGGGTAGACTCCTCAGGACAGACTTGGGTGTCAGGGCCTGCACCTCCCTCCCTGGCAGTGTACCCCCCTGACGGCCGTGTGGGCCCCCCAGCTCCTCCGCAGTCCATGGGGAAAGCTAGGGTGTGTGTCTTTTGGAAACACCCCCAGTTTGTGGTTGCTCTTGATGGACACACCCCTTGCTGGGGAGAACAGGTCTCCCTGGACCTCATTTGGGATGGGAAATAGGCTCTGTCCCATGTTAACCTAAACAGTGTTTTGCTCTTTAAATTCCACAGTCATATTTGAGGCTGGGCTCAGATCCTGCCTGCCTTTGGTGGCTCTGAGGTTCAGGGCTTGCTTTCCTGAGAACACTCGTGTGAGGTGCCCTGGGCCGCCTTCCCTCACCCACTGAGCCCCTGGCTAGAGAAACTGCAAGGTCTGAAGGAAGCAATCTGTCTCCTGCAGGTGGGGTAGGTCGGCAATGGCCGCTCCAGATTCCCAGCCCCTGAGGGACTGCGGATTGGCGGGCTGGGTATGTGGAGATCTTGCTCTGGCCCTTAACATCCTAGGGCCCGGGGAGGGCTGGTTGAGAGTCTGTCTGCCCTGAAGCAAGGCAGCATGGGGGAGGGGGAGGTCCAGGGAAGGTGGGGGTAAGTGGCCTCAGGGTGCAGTTAGGGCACCAAAGAGACCTCTATAACCTACCAGCCACCCTCACTAGGCTGTAGTCACTGTATCAGGTGCTGCAGCAAAGTTCCCCAGGTTTTAGGCACCCAGATGTCCAAGGGAGGGAGAAGGAAGTAGAGACTCCCTACCTGGTCCGAGCTGCACGGAGAACAGGCAATGGGCAATAACTCAGTATACTATATCTTGCCTGAGAGGAAAAGAGAAAAGAAAATGTGCTGTGAGAGTACAGCAGGGGAGGGCAGGCTGTGGGGTGCGGCCTCCAGGGGCTTGGCGCCGATCCCTGGCCTGGTCTGATGCTCTGTGCCCAAGTTCTGGTAGGCGGGAGCGTGACTTTGAGGCAGTGGGGGTCAGGGCCTGGCCGAGGTCTGCAGTCGCCTTGGGGCTGCCCTGGGGGTGGTGGGAGGGCGTGGCTTTTGGAAGGGTCCTAGGCCCAGGCAGGAGCTGGGGAAGAGCAGGCACACACCTCACAGTGTTACCTTGGGCTCGGGGTTCACGGTCCTTCCCTTGCAGTTGAATCTGCGTGTGTCCTGAAGGGGTGAGTCCTGCAGGGGGAGGCCAGGCTTACTGTGGGAACCCATGCTGCCCCCCCCCATCACGTCCCATGCACGTGGTGGGGGGGTGAGGGGGTGGCTCCAGCCCCAGAGGGCCCCATGGCGTGAGGGCAGAAAACTGAGATGGGCCTCATGTTGTTCCCAGAGAAGGGCCCCTTCTCAGACTTCGCTTGCTGATTCATGAGGCTAGAGCCCCACCCAGCCGCCCACCACCCATCCCAGACCCATTCCTCTGTGGATTTCACAGGCATCTGGATCAAATAACCACTACTATCGCATATAAAATTAGAGGCGAACCTCTCCAGAAAGCAGAGGCCAACAAGACTTGGTCCAATAGGATGTGAGCAGCCCTCCCCGACCCCCTGCAGTTAACCAGGGTTCAGCGGGAGAAGGCAGAGATGACCCTGCCCGCTGCCCACACAGGAAGGCAGGGGGCCCAGGCAGAGGGAGGAGATAGTAGGGAACCCCTGGTGCAGCCAACCCAGCAGGCAGGGACTGGGGTGTGGGGAGCAGGCTGCCTGGAGATGGGGTTGCAGAACCCGGCCCGTCAGCCCTCACTCCAATTCTGAGCTGGCCCAGACTGCGTGTCCCTGAAGCAGACAGATACCCTTTGGTACAGGACAGGCAGCCTCACTGAGTCCACAGGCCCTCGGAGCCACTGGACACGAGTCTGCTGCCACTCAGACCCCGTAGCCCCTTCCCCTTGCAGAGCTCAGCATTTGCTGTGAGGACCCCTTTCCCTGGAATGGGGCTCCAGGGACTCCAGGTCAAGGCCCTGCTTCTCCAGTCTTCAGGCTTCCGTGGGGTGGCAACTTGGGCTGTGTGTGTATGGCCTCCTGACAGAGACTCCAAGCACCTTTCAAAAGGTTCTTCCCCAGTATATCCTCCGGAAGGGTGTGAATGGCCCCTTTCTCACCTAAGCAACCCTGAATTCGGTCATAAAATGTTCTTCAGTTCTTTTATTTCAAAGATTAATAGGTTGGATATTTTGTCACATTCACTTTAATATTTTTCTGTTCTTATCCTTTGCTGGTTTTTCTTATTGATTTGTTGGAGTTTTCTATATATGAGAATATCACTGCTTTGTGTTCACATTGCAGATGTTAGCACTTTAACTTTTCATAGCACTTTACCTTTTCATAGCACTTTTTTTTAGGACATAGAAGATTTTGAACTTTACAGTCAAATAAGTCAACTGTTTTCTGCAGGGCTTTGCCTCTTGCATTTCTCTTGCCTTCCTGAGAGTGCCAAGATTTGCTTTTGCATTGTCTTCCAATGCTTCTATAATTATGCTTTTGCCTTAAGTCTATCTAAGTTTATTTTTGGGTATGGGGTGAGACAGAGTGGAACCAGTTTTTCACATTAAACCTTAGATATCTCAAGCCCTGGAGGATGCAATTATAGCCTGGAGCCCGCTTCCTGGGCTGGAGTCCAGCCCCACGTCACTGCTGGCTTGGGCAGGCTGCTGAGCCTTTGGGCCTCAGTTCCCTCTTCTCCACATGGAGGGTTAGCAGAGCACTGGAACACCCTCCTGTGAACAACTCAACAGTGTCTTCCCTGGGCCTGGGTCCTGCCTTTTCCAGCAGAGAGGAGGTGGGGTTAGGGCTGGGAAGGGAAGATTCTCAAAGCTCTTTGGCTGCCTTGGAGAGAGTGAGACCAACTGTGTGCCTGCTCACTGCTCCCCTTCCTGGTTCTCTGGGCTGCCCAAGGCTTCTGGGGGAAAACACTCAGATTTTGGCCAGCCCAAAGGAGGCTCCTGAAGCTGGAGTGGAGGCCACACCTCTGTAAAAAGGGGGCTAGAGATTGGCAGTGTGCTGTCTTAGCTTTCTCATCACCCACCTTGCTGTCCAGGCGGGTAACAACTGAGTTGCTAGGAGGGAGAGCCATGCTCACCTTCACTGGAGGGGGCCAGGGACACAAGGTGGCCATCCTCCCTAGCTCTGGCGTTGTCCCCAGCTCTGGCTCCCTACCTGACAAGTAGCCTTCCTCAGGCTGGACCACTTCTGCCTCCTTTCATGCCCTGTCCAGAGGCTGGCCTGGGTCTGTCTGGGCTTTGTCCCCACTGTCTCACCTCCGCCAAGCCCTGGCTCCCCACAAGCCTTTGGGGACATCTGTTAGCCCTGAGTCTCAGCCTCTCTGACCTCCTTCGACCCTTCTTCCCCAGCTGGCCCTGGCTGCTGGTGAGCTGCTCAGCCCAGGGTAGAAAGCCTCGGGCCGCACAGCTGGTAAATAAGTGGTTGCTAATTTGAGTCAAGTGTGTGAGGGGAGAGGTTAAGAAAAGCGAGAGCTAGGCTCAGACGCCTGGTCTGCCAGAATGACTGCGGCAGTGTGGGCACTGCTGAGTGCTGAGATGGATGAGTCCTGATGTCCCTGGGCTTCTGCCACCCAAACCAGGAGACAGGGCTCTTTCTGCAGTGTTGCCAGCTGCCAAGGCCCAGACTGCCTGCCTGCAGCCCTGAGCTCACCCGCCTGAGGACTCTGAGGGAGAGCTCAGCCCTGCCCAGCCCACAGTGACATCAGCTGCCAGCTCCTCCTGAGGGCAGCCACCACTCAGGCGAGGACAGGGCAGAAATGGGTGCCCATTGCCAATGCTTTTCTGCGTGGCACTTCCACAGGGCATTTAAAGAGACAGCATGCTCTTTCTTAAAGTAGGTTTGTGGATTCTTCAGCTGGACTTAACTGTTTAGTTTCCTCTTTTCCAATACATCATCTTAATTTTATTTTGTTTTCTCTTTTTCAGAACGGCACCTGAGCCCTTACTCTCGTTTCTAACTTCATTCATTTCTGCACCACTTTGAAGGCCAGAATGGGCTTCCCCTGCAGGTCTATGTCGATCAGTATTGCTGAGCTGAGTATATTGCAACACTTCCCTGCAAAAAGAAACTGATGTCTTCCTCCTATAAGAAATACATAAATCAGTTAAAAATAGTGCTCAGAGCGGATGTGATGCTGCTGCAGCTGTCACAGGAAACACATGAATC